TCTCAGGTCTGTGCGAGACCTGCTTTGAGGCAGTAATTCCTGTTTCTTCACTCGAGGTGACCCCTACACTTTTATCGTGCCTAAAAGATTAATTAATGGTATAAAAATCACAGAGAAAATCATCACCATGTTTTCATTGTGTTTTTATATAAATCACTGTTTTTATTTTACTGGAAACATCAGTAATATAATTTTGAGTTTTTCTTGAGAAAATCTTTCATTTATCTGGACCAAAGTTTCAGACTGATTAAACAGAAATGTTAATTAATTATCATAAATGTTTTACAGTGATTTCTCTTAGAGTCTATCAGAAAGAAAAGCTAAAGAAGATATTATCAAATGTCTGTTAAACCAACTACAGAGTTTGTCCTTGACTGGCGCCAGCTGGCAAAGCTCTTATCTTCCTTTCCTTTCTGACTCATTCTAACGCCTGAGGGCGGATCCAAAGTCGTCCGCCTCTGTTACTAACACGGACGACTTTGAGAGACACACTCTTCTTCCTGAATGCCAAACAGGGAGACCGGCTGATTTCTCTCCGGAGAACCAGCTTGGCTTCGGATCTCGCCCATCAGCCAAATAGGGTGAGATCTGACGGCCAGGACAGAGGCAAGCCGCCTTCTGTCCACACAGAGACCCAYGTCTCTTAAGTGTGTTTTACCTCCCGAGGGGAGATTTTTATTTTGAAAAGAAGGGACCGGATGAATCGCTAGAATCTTTCTGGCTTGGACTGAAACAGACGAAGTTGCCTAAAATAACACTTTCTCACCACGGAGCATTGAGCGGGCCGAGGAACTCGTTCCCTGACTGGTCTGAGGTGAGGCAGTGTATTTGCCCGGAGTGTGGCCAAGAAGCCATCAACAGGTAAACGCTGTCGTGTTCTGGGGCACGACAGCGTTCACATGAACTTCACATGACACATACGTGTCATGTGAAGTTCTGAGCGCAGAGAGGACGTTGCTGATCCGGTTGTCACATACCCTTACCAAAATAAAAGCAGAAACACTAACCTTAATTTCATCTCTTTTCTTATCCTTTATTTGCCAATCTTAAGTTAAAAGTGCCAGTAGAATTGTTTGGTTGTTAACATCAGAACTGACGTTTTACTGTTCCATATAAGTAATCTGAGTTTTAATGTGAATTAAAATTCGGACGCGAATTTTTACCTCATTTTAACTCTGAAGCTTGTTATAGGAAAACCCACAATCAGGTGTAACTTATGATCTGTTCAATTTGTGTAAATAAATGATTGCATAATCTTTTATGAATCAACTTGAACTCATCTGAACGTTCCCTTATTGTGTCACTTTCCACTTTGCACAGTCAAAATATTAAAGTGATGAGAAAATGCCTTGGTAAAATTTCTCTCATAACTTTGTTGTGAGAAGGATGTAGAGAGGCTTATTTAACATAAGCCCCTGCCCCTACACTTTTTTTCCTTAGTGGTTCTGATGCATGTTTTATCCACATGAGCATCTTAAAATGAAAACAAAAATCCAGAAAGAAAATACTTCATTTAAAAAGTGAATTGAAATAGAGGAAAATTTGTTTTTTCATTAATAAAAATAATATTTTATGAAAGGTGCATTATGTGGTATGTGTTTCTGTTTTTTTATTTGTTTACATTGCAGGAGCATTCCATGAAATGGTCACCCTTTATTTCAGCTTCTGTTGGTGTGGATTTTAAAAATGTCCTGCAATCAGAAAAATACATGATGTATAAAAAACCAAGTGTGTGGTGAACACCAGGGGAACAGTACAACATTTTGTTGAAACAGAAATCATCAATCAGTAYGAAGTTGTTGTATGGATCATCAGTTTTAACCTGGGATGAACCATGATCTGTTTTTATCTCTTCTGTATAGTAAAAGGCTGAATTAAATAAAAGGGATATTTGACAAAATATCAGAGACAAATACTTTGAGCTGCTGTGATTCAGTCAAATCTGAGAAATTATTTCCCAGGAATTATGGAAATGATGAACAATTCATTTGCCTCTTTTTGGTGAGGCTGAACAACAGGAAGGCCACTAGTGCTTTTCATACTGCAGACAGGACCTTGGAAACTAGATTTTTTTATTATCTTTGTACACTGGCATTAAACACCCAATTACTTTCCTGGGTAAACTAGGCATGCAGAAAAGGTCCTTTGGGGTTCAGATGTGGAAACAAATATTTTGACTGCTCCATCCTAATATGAAGAGGAGATTTCAAAATAGCCCCAAAAATTACATTTTCCCCTCATTAAAGATGCCCTGTACCAACACAAGCCTGAGAATAAAGTCTCATCATCTGGACTGGAAAAAAGAAGGGATTTTGTTTCTCCTATTTTAGTTTCACAGATACTTATTTTAACTCAGACAGGAATAAACACACGGAGCAGCAGAAAATCATAACAGAAGCAGTGTGAGTGAGTCATGGAAGAGTCATCTGCATCCACCGTGCCTCTCAGCCCTATTAATACTGAGCACAAAGAAAACAGAAAGCAAGTCTGAGAACATTTTAMTGTAAGAGCCTACAAGCTCCAATTCATTAATAAACACGACAGCTTGTTAATAAGCAGCTTTCTCATGTTCCGGAGTTGAGTCATGAGGGAGGACCATGACATCTTTTTCCACAGTCACCTCTTCCAGATCTGGGAGGACCCTGAGGCATTCCCAGTCCAGTCAGTCTCAGTCACAAGACACCTCAGTCTGGGACCACCTTCACACTGCAGGTAAACGTGACCCAAATCCTGCAGTTTTCCTGATAGTCTGAATGTGACAAATCCGATTTTTTTCAAATCCTACCCAGGTCTATTCAGTATGTGGAACTAAATTAGACATATCTGATGTTTTTCAAAGCGACTGCAGTGTGAACACTCGTATCTCTTTAAATCAGTGAGGTGGGGGTGAACAGATCCATCAGACAGATCCAAGTAATATAAATGATATGAACCTAAATCTTGTAACTCCACATGTCTTCAGCTACAGAACAGAAGAAGTCTAGTTGCTTCGTTTTTTTTCWTTTCCATTTTCTTTTCCGTGTCCTGGATGACTGAGAATCTATAGAAACATTTGATACTAAGGTTACTGGATTGATACTTTACTTTCAGCACATCTATTTGTTCCAAATATAAAACGCTGCACCAGAGCATCTGGTCAGAGGTTCAAATGTAAACAGTAAACTAAACAAACAGGTCAGACAATCATTTACGGGCGGCAGTGGTGGAGTGGTTCGGGGAGTCGTCCTGGAACTGGAAGGT